ATCCGGCAATACGGCGTTCTATCATAACCTTGTAATCCAACAGGTTATGAGCCCGGAGCTCTTGTAGTATTCGGGTACTCGAATCCCTTTAAACTTCGCTTATTTCACGTGAATTACGTGCCCTTTACGTGTTTAGTAACACCCCCCCCCCCTTTACGCTAGCGGTAACTTAAGCCTAAGGCCTGCGTCCCTAAGACTAAACTTAAGCGAGGGAATAAGCTTAAGTCCCTAGAGGCTATAACTAAACGTATACGTCACCTATAGCGGGTGTTATAGCTATTTTCTTATACTAAGGTGCCTATACGTATTAGACGGCGTAATTCTGACAGGATTACGTCAGGCTAATATATGAGTAGCTACTTAATACTAAACTAGCTTGATATTATATTAACACTATTAGTATATTACGGGTATATAATACGAACGTCCTTAGAGAGGGTATACTTGTATATATTAGCATTGTTAATATAAGGAAAGCTTACTTAGTAGTTGTTACAATTATATAGCGGGGTAGCGACAGACTGTCTATTTCGTTATATAGTTGTAATTAGCGAAAGCGTAAGCAAGACAGTATTAAGACTGTCGGAAAAGTCCTTAAATAAGGCACACTGTTTATTAGGGGGTTAAATAAGACGTAATATACGTCATTATATTTGTACTACGCTAAAAACTAATAAACACACGGGTTATTCGTTAAGGATACCTTATTTTGACAAAAAGTTACCTTAACTCTAATTTATTGAGTTAGAGTTACTTAAACCTTAACTTATTAAATTAAAAGTTAAAGTAAAGTTAAGAATCGTCAAATAAGCATTATCTTAAACTTAAAACCTATTTTCGAGTTACCTTAACTCGAAAACTAGTGAAATTAAGAGTTGCCTAACTCTAAATTTACTTTATTCGAAATAGTGTCCTTAACTCTAAGTACTCTTAATTAGAGTTACTTAACTCTAAGACAGTAAAATTAAGAGTTACTTAAACTATTTCGACTATTAGACCCGTTTCTTAAGTGTTTATTAGTTAATATGGCTTCTTCTATCTCCTTTAAAGGAGATAAGCTAATTGGCCGTTCTAATTACGTAGAATGGTTAACTAATGCTACTTTGTTCTTTGAAATTAATGGCTTTATGCCTTATATCGACGGCACAGAAACAAGCCCTGATAAAAGCTTGTATTTTAAGGCTAATAACGAAGCCTATAGTCCGGAATTAGCCGTTAAGTATTACGAAAAATTAAGTGAATACGAAAGGAACAACAAAAGGGCATTAGGGGCTATTAAGTCTATTATCTCGATCGAAAACACCGAGCGCTTTAAAGACAAAACAAGCGCTAAGGACTTATTTAAAGTAATTAAGTCTACTTTCGGTAAATCAAGCCTTGAATTAATAGGGCGATACTTAGATCATATTTTAGAAGCTAATTACAACTCGTTTAGTTCTATAGACGAATACACAAGTCAAATTCAATCCTTGTCTATATATTTAAAGGAACTTAACTATGAGTTGCCTAAACCTTTTTTAGCGTGGTTACTCTTTAAGGGGCTACCTTCTTCTTTTGATAGCTTTATCTCTCGTAAATACGAGGAATTAGCCAAGGATATTAAGAATATCGATATTTCGTAATTAATATCTGACTTAATATCTGAAGAAGCCAGAATGAAGTCTAATATAGACTTAGAGGCTAATAAAGCTATTAAAATAAATAAGACCCCTATTTGCAAACATTGTAAAAAGAAGGGACATTTAGAGAGTAAATGCTTTATTAAATACCCTGAATTACGTCCTAATAACAACAATAAAGGGACGAATTTAAAGAAGTCTAAACAAAAGGACTCTAACAAAAGGGGTAACGGTAGTACAAACAACAAAACAGAGGCTACTAAAGTAATTATGAGTGCTTTTAGTATTAATCAATATAAAATAGACGTAGATACAGAAATTGATTATAATACAGCTTACTTCACTTACTCTTACCGTGACAAGCTTGTATTAGACTCTAGTGCTACCGAGCATTATACTCCTAATAAAGACTGGCTTCTTGATTATAAGGACGTCTCTAATAAGTCTATTTTAATCGCAAATAGTGACAAAGTGCCTATTAAAGGAATAGGCAATATACCTGTCTTAATAGGTAACAAAGAGGTATTAATAACAAACGTCAGTTATATACCTTCTATTAAGACTACCCTTATTAGCCCGAAAGAATTAACTAAAAAGGGATGGTTAGTTCTTTTTAAAGACGACAAGGCGATTGCGTCTAACAAAGCCTGTAACTTGCGTTTTGAGGCTAGTTAGATTTATAACGCATATTACATAAATAGCGTTCAAATCAACTACAACTTATTAGAACCTGTCGTCTATAAAGTAGATCCTATTATTAACGACAGTCACAATGTAATAGACTTATATTACAAAAGACTGTTACACATTAATAAGGACTACTTAATTAAAACAATTGATGTTACATCCGGGCTAAAAAGAGTCACTAGTTCTAAAGAACTTAGTAACTGTGATTTATGCTATTACGGCAAATTTAATAAAATAGTCAGTAGAAAGCCACTAGATAGCGGTTCTATTCTGACTATATTTGATGTCGATATAGTAGGGCTATTTAATATTCCTGGCCTTAAAGGGGAACGGTATTTCGTTACTATTACATGTAGGGCAAGTAGGGCTATTTGGATATACCCTATAAAGTTTAAGTCCGATGTTTTTAATATATTAGTTGAGTTCTGTAATCGAATAGAAACTTAATTTAATATATCAATTAAGGTCTTTAGAATAGACAACGCAAAAGAGCTTACTAGCTCTAAATAGGACGCGTTCTGTAAGAAAAAGGGCATTATGTGCGAACCTACAAGCCCTAATACGCCTGCCTAAAACGGTATATCTGAAAGACTTAATAGATATGTAATTGAACGTCTTATTAGTCTTTGTAAAGAAAAACATATACCGTTAAAACTATGGCCTTACCTTATACAATCAATAGCACACATTAAAAACCGGACTTATAACTCTATAATTAAGTCGACTCCTTATAAATATATTACACAGAAAAAGCCGAATATTTCATATTTACGAATATTAGGATCCTTAACTTACGTCCTTATCCCTAAGTCAAGGCGCAAGGGTAAATTAGCCGATAAAGCTAATAAAGGGATCTTAATAGGCTTTAACTCGTCTAACAACTTCTTAGTTTACGTTCCTAGTCAAAACAGAGTCATTAACTCTCGGAACGTAGCTATTAAAGAAGAGTTAGAATATAAGGACGACTTTGTTATAGAAGAGGACTATTCTAATTTAATAGAGAACCAAAAATACGATGACTTAACGAATAGTACCTCTAATACTAGTACGAATTCAGAAGACACTACGTCTAATTTAGAAGACATAAG